AGGCAAAACAAAAATTCATTAAAAATAAGTCGGTCATTAAAGACCAGCAAAATATTCAAAGCCCCGGCCCCCTGGCCGGGTAAATACAAAGCAAACGGCACGCAGGCCGTGGAAAGAATACATAAAGCTTAAGAAGGGGGCAGATCTTCAATATTAGCAGTTGCCGCCTGGTCAGCACTCTTCTTGCTGGACTCGGCTTCAGCTGCATCCTTTTTTGATGTCTTACCCCCAAGCGGCACAAGCGCCACTACCGGCTCCTCCTCCTCCAACGCTTCCTCCAACGCCTCTTCCTCAGCAGCCGCCAGGATCTCTTGATTATATGTATCCGAACACTGGCGGTACGTTCTTTCCCAAGAGGCAAAGTCGGCATTGGGGAAGAGGCGGCCCCAGGTCATGCGCTGGATTTGAGCGGAGTCTTCCATCATCTCCCGGACCAGCTCTTTCTTCTCTTGCTCGGCCTTTTCCGAGAGCTCTTGAGTAAGACTCTTCTCCTGGGTCACCAGGCGTTCCTTTACGTTGGCCAAGGATTTCTCCAAGGCTTCGTAAGAGTACATTTTCAGGAGAAGAGGTTTCAGCTCGACCTTGAGATTTGTGATGGTCGCCTCCAGCTCGTCATTCTTCTTCTAGGCCGCCTCTAACTGAGCCCGAACAGCGGCGGTAGCCTGCGCCTGATAATAAAGAATATCAATGGTCAGAACTTCATTTTGGGCAATTTGAAACATTGCCTTATCACAGTCAGAGGCGGCCATAGCCTTTGCAGCCTTTACCTCTTTGTTCTTCCGATCAAGCGGCTTGCGAAGGCCGTTCACTCGGAGCAGGGCCTAAGTACAAAGAAACAGGCGTCAGTTTCCAAACAAAAAATAAAACAGGCGTCCAGAAATTCAAATACTCAAAAATATGCTAAGTATACCTCAGCAAGGACCCCTGCAATCCCGTCTAGGTCAAGGGTGCCGACACCCCTGACCGCCTCCCTTTCAGCTGGAGGAACTGCCCTGATCATAGACTTGGCCATCTCTACCAAGTCAGGCTCCTGAGGGCCGGCTGCATCAAGCATAAACAAACGGATTAGACCTAGTAAAAAGGGAGCGAGTCTAAAATTTACAAGGACAACTTCTTACTTCTAGGCGGCCCAGTTGGAGTTTTAGAAGAAGTGGCCGGCTGTTTCTCAGCCGCCACATGTTTCCTGGCAGAACCAGGAGAGCTCCCAACAGTCGTCTTCCGGGCCTTGGGGTCCGGCTGTTGGGAAGATGAAGCTCTTGGAGCACCTGTCTAAAAAAGAAAAAAAAAAGAAAAAAAAAAAGAGTCAGTATATGCATAAACACAACTCCAAAAAGAGGGTGAAAGGTTCGGAGCTCACCAAGGGTGCCCCCTTCTTGGGGGAGTCGGTTGAAGCTTGTTGCATGATGGAGGCCCGCAACATGGTCGCCGCAGACTTGGAGGCGGTGATTTTGCTCATGGCGTCAGCTGCAAAAACAAACAGCAAAGTTAATAAGTCATAACAAGAAATGTATGGAACAACAGAGTATTCGACAGGCCGACTACCTCTTGAGCACCGACTGCTGAGGCCACAGGCGGCCAAAAAGTACTCGTCATAGAGCCACTTGAAGCTCGGGACGCAGTGCAGGGGTACTTGCTCTCGTACCCCTGAAGTAGAGTCGACCCTCGACTCTACTTTAAAGAGTCCTTTATCAAGAATCTCTTTCTTAGCCTTTGGGGGAACAGGAGGCATGCTACGGCCGCCTGCAAGAAGGGGCGGATTCCTGTTCCACCTATTGAAGCGCTTGTTCAGCTCAATGTCTGAACTCTCAATGATGAGGAAGGTGCTCCGCCAGTCCTTCCACTTGTTTGCTTTACCTCTCGTCATGAGGTAGCCCCTGTGGCTTGTTAATTGATACCAGCCGGTACCGCCTGTCTTAGGGGTCCGGCTGAGATAGTTCATATGGGCGAAAGCCTCGAAGCTCGGCTCCACCCCGTGCAGTTCGCACCCGGCCATATAGCCGAGTACGTTGACCCAGGAGTTTGGGGCTAACTGCCATAACCCCAACTCATACCCATCCAAAATCCGCTGAACAGCCGGATGTAATGGGAAGCGAAGCCCTGCCTTGATGGCCGCCTCGTAGCAGCCAAAGCAGGCGCTATCATAACTGGAACCAGCCGGCCAGACGACTGTGTCTTCTGGATCCGGCACAAACACTAGAAAGTCGGGGCCCATGGTGTGGTTTGCAATAAAGCTCTCCACTTTCTCTTGCATGGCTGTGATCCGGCCCCGAGGTACCGTGCGGTAGTAGGTTGTGTTTAGCTCTCGGTAAGAGGCGGATGGCTCCGCCCAATTGTCCCCCTTCTCAACTGCGTGAGAAAGTCTCGCCTCTTGCAGGCGGCTGTTTTTCTCTTCTGTACCCAAAGAAGCATGGCCAGAAGAGCTTGACTCGGAATCGTCCTCTGACGAGTCCGAAGAGGACGACTCCTCCCCTCTCCCGGAGGGGCCCGCCTCCTCTCTTTGAAAAGAAGCAGAATTGTTAACTGTTAAATGGGAAGGGGTCACTATGACTCCTCCCTCAGAATTGCCGGCTTTCATGCCGCCTTGTTTCACTTCCACATCTGGCGCCTGGTCAGATGTTTCACTAAGCGGCACCTTGTGGGAGGAGCCGTCTGAATTTGAGATCCTAGCAGTCTTTTTCGTTCTGGCCATCCTGCTCTGCATAGACACAGATACAGTCGGACTTTGTATAAAGGGCAAAGATGGGTCCGGAAAAGGGCAGGCGGCACTCCTAGTCCTAGATTCAGCCGTCCCCGGTGACCGGCTGATCACTAACCTAGGTCGTGTCGTGTGCTTCCGTGGTGCCATTTCAAAAAATAAAAAGAAAATTAAGAGTAAGAGAACTGACAGTTACCTGAACGAGTGACGGTTGATGAAGTTCTGAAAATCCTTTGCAGTCGGCTTGTCAGAACAGGCGGTAGGCAGAAAAGGTCCAAAATGTCAGAGCAAGTTCAGGGGTCCGAATGTTCTCAAAAAGTTCTCAAAGTGTGAAAATGACTCAAGACCACTCTCCCTTATATAGGCAAAGTGAGAAGGCGAAGGGACACTTTCAGAATTCAAAATTTGGGCGGGAAAATCTCTCGGCCTTTCGCCGCCTGTTACAGTGCGACACCTGTCACAGGTAACACGTGACCAATCACGTGCCACCTGTGAGGGGCAAATGATTAGGGGATTTTGCTCCCACCAATCGGAATGCGCCACGTGGGCCAATCAGGTCCTGCCAAGTGTCCCCCAGTTGGAACTGTCAGGGCTTGCCACGTGGCACACGCTTATTCGTCCACCTTGGACCTATTATGTCATGACATGTGGCATACTCCATGCCTAATGGAGAAACCGGCTACCCAGGCCCAACTTCCGAGGGAAGCCCAATCGGCCCTAGGTTAACCTAAACTTAGGATGGGCACGTTTCCCAAGGTTATAAATACCTCCCTTAATCCTCATTAAGGGGGGGAACGAAAAAACACATTAATTACACACAGTAATAACCGGCTGATCTCGCTAACAAAGCAGATTACCTACATTAAACACTCTCACCTAGAGAGACCCAATCACTTTAATTTCCGCATTAATTACTCCTTAATCAAGTACTAACTTGACCGTTGGAGGCGGAGCTCCCAGGAGTCTCCGTTATTTTGCAGGTACAGGCGTCCGGTTCCAGTCTCGGAATTGTAACTCTCCCGCAGGACATCAGAAAACCCCGAAACACAAAGTATGTTCTATATGCATTCAATGATAATAATATTTTAACCTATCTTTCATTATTTTATAATAGGTATTTTTTTCTAAAATAAACAAACTTATACGAAGTAATATATTACAATAATAATGTACTACTCCGTATCATTTTGTATTGTATTTTTTTCTTTGGAAGTTTTTTTTTTTTTTTTTTGCTCCAACCTGGATTGACTCTTTAACTTTTATTACGAAGTATATATTTGTTGATTTATTTAGAATAATAACACTACAATTCAATAAATAAAAATATAAAATAAAAATAAAAAACCTTATTATTAATTATCACAAAAAAAGTCAATTAAATTTGTATAAAACATTATATCGGTCAAAGTAAGCTATAAAACATTGTGCTGGTCAAAACATGCCAACAAAATTGGGACGTTGAGGTATGTACATTACACATGTTCCTCTAAAATAAAAAGTACATTGCACGGGTTATAATTAATAACATAAAATTTAATTCGTATATAAAATCCTATGATCATTAGATTTGTGTTTTTTTTTAAAAAAAAAGAATGTTTAATGATCAATAACTTTTGACATCAATATAATATTAAACTCAAGTTTTGTTTTGCTTTTTTTAATTTTAATTTTTATTATTATTATTTTTTTTAAAGAAATTCAAGAATCTATTTCAAGTATTTGTTAAATTAATTTTTTAATTAAAAATTAGGTTAAGTAAAACTCGTGCATTGCATGGAACTTAAACTAGTGGAGTACCATAAAACAGATGTAAAAAAATTGTTACAATTACTCTTCATTACGGATGAAGGAATAATTATTTACCAAAAAAAATATACTACCTCCGTTATGGGTTATGTGCAACGATTAGATATTTTCCCTCTTTACTTTATGTCAAATCGTTGTACATAAACTGTAACGGAGGTAATATATATATATATATAATTCGTAGTTGAAGGTCCCAAGACATGAGAATGCGCGAGGTCAACAGTATCCTCCGTATAAAAAAATAGAGTAGCAGCAGCAACCTACGACCGACCCTACTCCTCCCCCGCTTAAAGACAATTACCAGACAATTATTTGTACCTCCACGTGGCACCTTCTCCTCTACTCTACTACCTCCTTCACTTTCATAATATCACCCCTTTCTCTCTCCTCTCACAACCCTTGATCTCCAAATCAACGGTCAAACCCCACTCTTCCCCATCTCCACTACCATGCACCCAATCCCACCCAATCCCCTCTTTAAAGTGCACCTCAATAAAGCAAACATAGAGAAAACAGACATTGAGAGAAATAAGAGGAGAGAGAAAGTAGAAGAAGAGAGAGAATCTTGCACACATCCAACGAAGCTTAAGCAGTAGCAGCAGTAGCAGCGCAAAGCTCGTGGTGCTTCCTTCTCTCTCTACTTTCTCTCTCTAACTTAAAACTTAACATTAGTGAGAGAAAGTGAGAGAGATGGCGACGGAGGGCGTTGGTGGTGGTGGTGGAGTGGGCGGAGCAGCGGCGGCGGCGGCGGCGAGGAGGAAACCGTCGTGGAGAGAACGAGAGAATAATCGGAGGAGAGAGAGAAGGAGAAGAGCTATTGCTGCTAAAATATTTTCTGGGTTAAGAGTTCAAGGTAATTACAATCTTCCTAAGCATTGCGATAATAATGAAGTTCTCAAAGCTCTTTGTGCTGAAGCTGGTTGGATTGTCGAACCCGATGGCACCACTTATCGCAAGGTAATTACGGAGTAATAATTTTACTGTTTAGACCATCTTTTTATCAGATCTGCTTTTTTTTCCATGTTTTTGGGCACGAAATGATGTAGACGGGATTTGATCTCAATGGTATGAAATTTGACAATTTGTGTTGGGTGTGTTTCAGGGGATGAAGCCGCCGCCGCCGGAGATAGTGGCGAGTTTTAGCAATTTTAGTGCTTGTTCATCGCAAATACCCAGTCCGTTATCATCAGCATTTCAGAGTCCAATTCATTCGTATCAACCCAGTCCTTCATCCTCTGCTCCTCAAAGTCCGAGTAGAAATGAGATCAATGTACAATCTCACCCATTTTCGTTCCTTTGTAATTCGATTCCGTCGAGTCTGCCGCCTCTTCGGATATCAAATAGTGCTCCTGTGACACCGTTGTTGTCATCGCCGACGTCGAAAACTGCTCCGAAACAGCCGGTGTTTAACTTCGAGGCGATTGCTAAGGAGTCTATGGCGTCTTTTAATTACCCCTTGTTTGCAGCTTCTGCTCCGTCGAGTCCCAATAGGCGGCGAAACTTTACCCCGCCAACGATACCGGAATGTGATGAATCTGACTGCTCAACGATTGATTCGGGTCAATGGATTAGCTTCCAGAGGTTTTCAAGACCTCCAATTCCAACATCACCCACATTTAATTTGGTTCGGCCAATGGTTCAGAAAATGTCACTGAATGATGCAATGGAGGATAGAGCTAGAGCTCCTGAACCCGAAAGTATGCAGGTTACCCCTTGGGAGGGGGAGAGGATTCATGATGTTGGAATGGATGACCTTGAACTCACCCTTGGAAGTGGCACTTCTAGGAACTGAAAAGAAAGTCGCTCGAATTCAATCAAGTACAATCAAACAATGTTCTAAGCTCCGTATTTGAAGTGTCTGAAATGAAACGAAAGTAGCTCGAATTCGGATTGGATTGTGATTCCAAAATGCCCTTAAGTTTAATTTGCTACCAGAAGTTTGCTTTAGATGGATGTTAATTTTTTTAGTTTAAGAGTTAATGCCCATAAGGGTGTTAATTTTCATGGATACTTAGGTCCATATTTTTTTCTTTTTTTCTTCTGCCTGATTTGTTTACTGTGAAACTAGAATATATTGAGTTGCTTGGGGTTTTAACACAAGCATTACATGTAGATAAGATGGTTTAGTTTTCTTTCGATTTCGAGGAGGATTACCTCGACTTGGAGACTCATGCCTAGGTTGATTCTTGTTTAGTATTTATGAGGCATTCGTGAAGTGGATTACTTGTTATTGTAGACTCAATGTTTCAAGATAAGAAATCTATGTTATGGCATTTGATTAGAATCAAAATCAAACTCTTTCTTTTTAATTTCAATGCTTCAGTAGGAAGTCATTTTTTATGCCTGTTTTTGCACAATTGAATTCACTGATAATTTATGCTAATTTTATTTTCAAGAGATCATATTTCATATTGAATCATATGTGATATTATACAGTACTCTGTACATGATAGAGTTCATTAGTGCTATTGTCTAGTAGCACCTATTATTTTGATTATGTAGTTAAAAGCATTTTTTACAGAACATTGATTGTACCATCTTTGCTTTTCTGATTTCGTCCAACTCGACAACCATGGCAACGAGGCTTTTCAGGATCGGAGCTACTTGACTCCATTAAGAGACTTTGTAGACATCTTCTTCTAATGGTTGGTGCATATGCCAGGTTTTCAGCTGGGGTGCTGATGAATTCAGCCTTGTGGGAATCGAGCTTGCCCTTATCTTTACCTAGCTTTGTGTGTATCAGCTGGGGTTCAATTTGGTTACGAGTGAAAACCACGTGGACACCAGGGTTTCTTTCTGTCACAGAACTGTTATAGACGAGTGAGTTGTTTATTCCTTGTGCATTGTTGTTGACGTATGACTTTGTTGCTAAATCCTCTTGGAGGTTTGTGTCTCCAGATTTCCTCTTTCTGGAGCTTCCCTCACCTTTAGTGGTTTCAGCTGTTCTGTCAGAATTGAGCTTGTATCCCCTATGAATGTGAATTGGCTTCTCTTTGTTTATAGTCTCAGAGCTAAGGTGCATGGTTGCTCCAATGTTTTCCCCTGCTAGAGTGATAATGCTTAATGGCTTCTGGTGCAAGAGTTTTTCTTGCTGAGCACCTTGTTTGTGCACTAACTTTGGCAAGTTCTCCTTTATCTCTTTTTGAAAAGGAGGCTTATGTCCTTCTGCATTTGCATGCTTATGAGGATACCTTGCAACTCTTTCATCACCTCGGGTCTCATTTTCAGTATCATGCCCTCTATTTTCAGTTTTTTTGAAGACCTCCTTTATGTCAAAAACTTCTTTCTCTGAATGCAGTCCCTCCTCGTATTGTTCTGCAAGTGGATGTTCTATAGTCCGTGCTTCCGGGCTTATAATTTTTCTGTCATTAACTGCTTCTTTCTTAGGATCGTCATGATTTCCGTTAATTCTGTCATTAACTGCAAAAGATGTTGGAGGTGACCCTGTTGTGGCTTTTGTCCTAATTGGCTTGTCACCTCCTCGTGATGGAGATGGTGACTGTGGCAGTGCCTTTGTCGCTTGTTGGAGTTTGGAACTTACCTGTGTCGGGGGAGCAGGCCGAGAGGTAACTTGAGTCGGAGGAATAGTCTGTGATGCTGATGCTGGTGGACCTCGGGGTGGTTGTGTCTCCTGAGGCTGTATTGCTGGTTTGGGTGTGCCTTGAGATGATCGTGAGGGTGATTGGGGTTCTTCTCTTGTTGGTGGTACTGTTGGTGGTTTGGGCTGTGCTGGCGCCACTCCTGCTGGACGGAAAGGGGGCCGCTGTGCTGGTGGCTGAGATGGTGCTTGGGTCTCTTGGCTGGGACGTGGAGCAGCAGGTGCTTGCTGAGGTGGTGGTGGCTGAGATGGTGCTTGGGTCACTAGGCTGGGATGTGGAGCAGCAGGTGCTTGTCGCGGTGCTGGTGGCTGAGATAGTGCTTGGGTCACTTGGCTGGGACGTTGAGCAGCAGGTGCTTGCCTTGGTGCTGGTGGCTGAGATGGTGCTTGGGTCACTTGGCTGGGACGTGGAGCAGCAGGTGCTGCTGACCACGGGAGCCTAAAGCGGAATGGTTGCCTTTGCTCAGCCATGAATTAACAGAGAGATTGAATTGCCAACTAGAAGAAAAGTCTATTGAAATCTGAATTGTACACTTAGTTACATGATATGGGTGATGATGAGAATAAAATCAGGACTTTGTATATATAGATTTAATATGATACTTTGGTAATCATTTTGGAGTTAATCATATTACTTAATACCTTTTTGATGCTTGGCTTCTTTGCTTCAGCAGATAGGAGAAAGTATGCTTTACCTGCTTCAAATAAGATTCTTCACCCTTGTCTTTGATCTTGCTCCTTGTCTTTTCAAGTAAGCTTGCGATTGAGTGTATTGGAAATCTTCATTCAGTTAATTCTTTCTGGTTTCCTGTGCATCATATCAACTTCTCTTGGTGATTCATTTCTTGCTTGCGAGTCCAGATATGCTTAATCCTGAGAGGCATTCTCTTTCAGCAAGTAAGATGTCAATTGTAATAATCTATCCTTTATTATTTTCTCATTGAAGGAAAGAACCAAGAAAATACCATATGGAAGTTAATTTGCACAAGGCACTTGAGTTTTTCCTTCAGAAGTAGATTTAATTGTCTATATTGCTGTAATCTCTTCAATGTTTTTGGTGATAATTATCTTACAAAAATGCAACCATGGTATCGGATGGTAAGGACTTGTCAAGAGACAGCTAAGCTATCAATTCTACAGCACTCGCTTGGAAGAAATCCAGTTGAACAGAAGAAGGTTTTTGCTCGCCTTAGATGTGTCATTTCCACTCCTCCGGTGAATCACAAAGGACTGGAGAATACAACAGTATCAGATGTCCTGATGACCAAGGGAGGGGAGAGAGCTGGCTCTTGGCTTTGGTGTCGTGCTGATGAAACTGTCCAAGATGCGGTGACACAGGTATTTATCCTTTGTGATGATTCGATAGATTCTTATGAAATGCAGACTTTCATTAAAAGTATCCTGCAACTGACAACAATTTTGAATGCAGATGGCACGGAATGACATTGGCTCTTTGGTGGTTCTGAAGCCTGGAGATAAAGATCTCATTTCAGGGATCATAACAGAAAGAGGTTCTTCATAACTAAATCCACATGTTATATCACTATTTCGAATACCTAAGTTTATTCAAAATGTACTCGATATGAATGATTAAATTAACACTGCTTCTCATGGGTGTGGAGAGAAGACTATCTTAGGAAAGTTGCTGCAGAGGGAAGACCTGCCAAGTATACAAGAGTTGGAGAAATTATGACCAGAACGGTAATACATTTTATATCCTTATGCAACTTTCGTCGTATTTGTTGGGACTATATTTACAGTAATGAATTTTCACCCTGTTTCATTAGAGCTCCCCCCTCTTTTATGTAGTACAAAATTTTTTATTCTTACTTTTAATTTTGACAGGACAATTTAATAACAGTCACATCTGATGCAAACATTCTACATGCAATGCAGCTAATGACAGGTCAGTTGGTCTTGGGTACTGTAGAAAGGTTCCGAGAATGTTTCCAATATATTATTTACGAGTTGAAACATCGTTAAATTGATTCAAATAAAATTATTTTGTTTAGAGAACCACATACGACATGTCCCAGTCATAGATGGGAAGATAGTTGGTATGATATCAATGGCAGATCTCGTTCGAGCAGTAGTAGAGCAACAAGGCGGGGATGTGAAGCGGCTCAACGAATTCATCAAGGGAGAATACTTCTAGGGTCAAATAAAAGGAAATCCTTCAGAATTTAAAAGGCCTCCTGATGCCATCAGTTGTAGGTTTGAGCTAAGGATATATTTGAGTTGGATAACTCAATTGTTGTCCGAAAGCTTCTAATTTCATATTTTTTCAGTTAATCTATTGCTTGCTATACCCCGATGTATGTAATAGTATGTTTGCAAAATAATGTTATATGCTGTAAATCAATAAAGTCTGTTTTTTGCATTTTTAATCGGATAATTGATACTTTGTGCAAGGTTCATGGCCCCTAGAAGTTGGCTTGTTATAAATAACACTTGCACCAACAGACCGTGTTGATACACAGAACATGATCTATTGTGACAGCAAATAATTTATTTATTAATTTATATTTTTAATTTAACAACATGCAACTAATATTTAGCTGTATAACATTATTGTCAATAATGATACATGTATTAATCCTGGTGGGGTTATTGAGGGCCTAAAAATCTAAGTCTTAATTTTGTGGAAAATTCTGTTTGCACTTTGAAAATATTCTATTTATACATTATCCTATTTTAATTGAAAATTATTTCATTAACTTTTAATTTTTTATGTGTACTTTATTAATAATAAGAGTTTATTCAAGAGTAATAAGACAATAATGTAGGAGTGCAAATTGCTTTTGCCTTTGTCTTTTCCTTTCCCTTTTTAATATTTGTCCCCTCCCTTTATGTTGTATACTTCTTTTGATGATTTGTTGATAATCTACTTCATCAGTTTTATTTATTTACAACATATTCAATTTTATGATATAATTAATATCCCTTAAATAAATTATAATGTTGTATAGACTTTTAGATAAATTGGGTATTACCATTATTATTGTATATCGAAGTTAAAGTGCAATGAAGGATATTTCACTTCATTAAATAAAACACCTAACGATCAAACAATATTTATAACACTCAACCACCCTAAGCTAATACGAGTATAGAGGTAAGCTAAGGGACCGAATTACAAGGAGGGCATAAACACTATATCAAACACAACCAACAATTAAAATAGATATAATCAATAGAGCATGAAAACTATTGTTGACGCGGGTGCATGGAACTTGGTGGAAGAAGTGGAAGAAGTGCCACGTGTTGTGACACGTAGTTGGGCCAAGCTCCTTGGTGGTCACCTCTCGGGGATGACTATCATTACACTTGAAGACCGGAAGAATTGAAGTGGTGCGGCTGAACCAAGGAAGTCTGACCGAACCTCCTAGGTAGTAGCAAACCAGATTTCAACATTTTTGCAGGAGAGGTCGAACTCCAAAAGTTTAACCAAACCAGGAGCAGGGAAGTTCGACCGAACCTACCCAGTAGTTCGAAAGAACCTACCCAGTGTTCGGCCGGACCTTGTCCTGTTTTCAGTCAGTTTTGTACGGACTATTTAAGTTCCTTTTGAGAATGTTTTGCATTTAATTTTTGATGAACTTTTTGCTTGATTTTGTAATCAAAGAGACTTTCTCTCTTTACCATAATCTTTGTGATTATTTGGCTTTCTTTGTGATTGCTACTTTGTAATCTTTGTGGTTACACCTTTATCCTAGCTTTACTTTGTGTTAGCTTGATTAAGAATTCCCTATTTCATTTATCTTGGTGATTGTTGAGATAGGTTTATCTTGTTTTGTTGATTTTGAAGTTGTGGTTATTTGAATATTCCCCTTTTTCTTGTTTTCCTTGGTTATTTCATATCATTTGGTATCAAGAGCCTAGGTTATTACCCTAGAAAGATCCTAACTTTTGAATTTCTCTTTCCCCCTCTCAAAAGATCTCATCTTTTTCCCACAAAAATTTGAAACTTTTCTTTCAAAGATACAAGCTTTCTATCTAGAAACATGGGTGATAGATACAAGCATTACCCCTAACTTGAACCCCACTGTGATCATACACTAAAGTACGGTGGCGTCCAAAAGGGAAGAAGATAGAGCAAAAGAGTCGCCAACAAGTTTTTTTAAGGAACTTGTAAACCGTTCACAGGGTGAAGGTTACACCCCTTAACGATCCAAGAGATCGTCAACTCCATAAGGTCTTGAACCAAATAAGGGTTCGGGGATGAAGGTACAAATCCAACCTAAAAGAGATTGAACCTGCCCTAATAATATGCCTCTATTTTATTCTAATCGTATTCATGTGCGCTTTCTGACTAACATGCAATCAATAGGATTAACCCTAAACCTGTTTATCTATGTTGGTTGAATTTAATGCACAACCAAAACTATTATTGGCGATCACTTGAATTATAATCAAATTAACCCTAAACAAGATTATTAAATATTTTATTAAGCATGATTACAAGTACCAATTCCCTTTAAACATGCATAAAAGGCGTGATCAAGCAATAACAACAAAAATATCAACAAGCAACATAATAATAATAATAATTATAATCATAAATCATAATCATAATCATGTTAAACAATAATAATAGCAAGATCCTAGGCATGATACTAACAAGATTAATAACAAACATAGCATGTCACTAAGCATTAAAAATCAAAGCTTTAATCCTAACATGATACTAACAATCATAAATATTAGGAAGAACATAAAAGACATCATACTTTCAATCATACTTGATATTAAAATTACCCTAGGCATGTCACTAGGAATATCATAACAATCTAAGCATGAACTCTATATCATAACATCAATAAAAACCATTAAAGTACTTACTTTGATGCCTCGTACCTCTTTCTAATAACAAAATACACACGTTAGTAACTTCAAGGAAAATAATAAACAAACAATTAAATTAAATAATCGAAATAGAGATTTGGGACCAAACCCTCAGAAATTAAACCTTTCACGTCTAGGGCGAAGGCAACTTCGAACAATGCTAGGTGTTTCTAGATCTAATGAATGCGGAATTTTTATATTTGAGAGAAGCTAGTTTAGAAAAAGAGAGAGAGAGAGTAATCAAGAAAATCTTGATGAGAGTTGGTGAAAATAGAGAGAATAAGAATTGATGAAACTGGTTGTTGATGAATGTAGATTAAAACTGGTTTTAGATGATTATAATTGAAAACTGGTATTAGAAAACGGAGTTTTTAATACGTTATTTATAAAGAAAATCAGCCAAAAAAGATAAAATATCAAAACAGAGTCTGACGCACATGAAACTGAGCCAGCGCCAACGCTGGCTATTGGCGCCAGGCGCCAACATCAGCGGCAGGCGCCAAAGCTGGCGCCAGGCGCCAAGCGTAGCGCCAGGCGCCAAGCGTAGCGCCAGGCGCTAAAGCTGGCGTTTGGCGCTGATCTGGAAAATTACGCGTTTTCTTAAAATCAGATAAAAATTGTCGTACAGGAGGATAAAATTGTATTTTTCCTCAAAAATGTTCTTTGATTTTAATTAAAACTCTGAAAAGTTAACAAAAGTCAATTTATCAATGCTAATTGAATTAGGAATGAAAAGAACTTTCTAGAAGAATCTAGAAGACTAAAACCATTCCTAATTGCATTAGGAATAGTAAATCATATTAGGCCCTCCCCTAGATCATTGGGCCGCACATAAGGCTCAAACCGGGCCCAGTTCAGTAAATTGGCCATAACTTCCTCAATATTCATCGGAATTGGACTTATAATATATCGTTGGAAAGCTCTTGTCAAGCCCCATCCAACTACACTACTATCGGACCCATATCATGGACCAACCAAACTGGATTGTCTGTTTTCTTAAAATAAGTTTTCAAAAACAAAGAGAAGAGAAAAGAAATTGAAACTATCCACAACACTAAACTTTCCACACTTTCACCTCATTCGATTATGATTCGACGTGAAAGGTACTCATCACTGGGTTTGGTTTTTTGGGAGACACAAATGGGTGTCTACAACTAGGGAGTTTGAAAAAATCTCTATTATGAGTGGAGTTGAAGAAGCACCGGAGCATAAGATTGCTAGGTATATTGGTGGTCTTGAGAGAAATCTTGGGAAAAAGGTTAATGTGCATGCCCATGGAAGTTTTGATCAAGTAGTGCAAAAGGCTATGAAGTTTGATAAGTATGACAAGATGAGTAGTGCTAGTGCGTATCCTAAACCTACCTTCAAGAATTCTTTTGCTCCAAAGGGTGAGACAAGCAAGCCCATTGCCAAGGATGACAAAGGCAAGGCTTCCATGCATTCTTCTAGTAAAGATGATCACAACAAGATGAGAAATAGGAAGACTTTCTTACAAGTATAGAGGCTACGACCATTTTTCTAATGAGTGTCCAAATAGTAGAGGTATGATGATTCGTGAAGTGGATGATGATGAGTACGAAGATGAGAAGAAGGACTTTGGGGACCCTATATATGATGAGGAGGATGAGATTTTATTTGAAGCCGATGAGGGTCAAATCCTTGTTGTGATAAGGGCACTTCACTCCATTTCCATCCCTTTAGCGGAAGAGCAAAGGGAAAACATTTTCCAAACTCGTTGCACCATCAAGGATCGAGTTTGCAACCATATCATTGATAGTGGCTCTTTCACTAATGTGGTTTCAACAACATTGGTAAGCAATCTTAATCTTGAAACTACCGATCATCCTACTCCCTACAAGCTTCAATAGCTTAACAATACCAATTAGGTGAAGGTAACAAAACAAACTCTTCTTTCTGTTTCAATTGGCAAACTATATAAGGATGAGGTGCTTTGTGATGTATTACCTATGGATGCTTGTCATTGATCGAGGGTGAAAGTAGGTCGTTGGGACTACTAACCCTAACCAAATTAGAAATTTATAATACCTAAACTTACACTAAACTAGTTAGTGGCAAGTAAAGGGTCGAACCTAAAAGGACTAAGTGTATTAATTTGTGCCAACTAGACTACTAGGAAAGGTCGTGAGATAAAGAGATGTTAAACTAAAATCGACTAAGAACAAACAACTAAAACTAGGGAAAGTGGAATCCAATCACATCAATGTATTAAACAACATCATACAAATAGATGAAAATGACCTCGATTAGGAACATCAACACATTTAACTCACTCTCGCACAATTAAGCATGTTAATTATCCTACTAAAATAATTTACTCTCGTGCAACTAGCCTAGCAAAGGTATGGAAGAATTTAGGGCTCTCAACCAACTCACTCTCACACAATTGATTGAAAGCACAATTAAGAGCATAGAATCGATTAGCTAGAAAGATTCTAATCCATAAAAGCATCACCCATACACAATAATCAAGAAACAATTTCATACTAATCACAATCAATCATTCAATTCATTAATATAACCTTCATCCAGTTCCCTAGAACAAGACCTAAGCTAACATAATGAAGAAAGACATAGAAAACAAGGTAAAATAAGAATAAAAACAAGATTAAATAAACAAAATAATTAATCTATTCAAATCAACAAA